AACCAGGACTAAACCAGGATTAACACCAAGTCTAAACCAGGTCTAAACTAGATCTAAACCAGGTCTAAACCAGGACTAAACCAGGATTAAAACCAGGTCTAAACCAAGACTAAACCAGAACTAAAACCAGGTCTAAACTAGATCTAAACCAGGTCTAAACCAGGACTAAAACCAAGTCTAAATCAAGTAAGCACATCAAGTAATCCAATGTATTCAGATTACGTTACTCACTTTAAGTAATTTAATAGATTATGTTACAAACTACATTTTGAGGTATATAATCTAAATACATTTGAAAAGTCACCTTCCCAACACTGTATATATATTATATCATATGAAGTATAAGAAGATGTACATTTATCGCAAGGATTTTTATGGGATTTCACCTACACATATTTTTGACTGTGGGTTAGATGTCCATGACAGCTCTCCCAAATCTCCAAGTTCATGTCTCACTTGTGAAAAATAGTAACAAGATACGGTTTTGATTTTTATTTGTAACTTATTCTGTACTGAAATAAAGGTAAAAGCTGTTAACTTGAAAAGAACCACTACATGACATCACTGGGTGGATCAGAGCATTTGGACAAAGCAGGACACTGACTAAAGTCCATGTAAATTAATTTGTATTTATAATGCTTAATATTTACATTATACCAATCAGTCTCCAGTGTTGGGGAGTAACAGATTACATGTACCGGAGTTATGTAATCAGAGTACAAATTATGAGTAACTGTATTCAGTTACAGTTACTGTTTCAGTGAGTAGTAATTGGATTACAGTTACTTTGTTGAAATAAATGGATTACACAGTGGTATTTTCCTGTTTTCACATTTGGGCTATATCCTTTTTTTTTTTTTTTTTTCCGGTAATTCCACTCATTGCTGGACACTAAACCAGGTCTAAACCAGGTCTAAACCAGGACTAAAACCAGGTCTAAATCAGGACTAAACCAGGACTAAAACCAGGTCTAAATCAGGACTAAACCAGGACTAAACCAATTCTAAACCAGGTCTAAAACAGGATTTAACAGGACTAAACCTTGCTGCGCTGACCGTGTCTCCTCTTCTTCTATCAATAATTTTTTATATGGTTAAGTAAAGACTCAGCTCTTTCATTTTCTTTTATCAGACAAAACATTTTATGTTATGATGTCCTCGTCTTTGCTTCTCTACAGCAAATCAAGTAATCCAAAGTATTCAGATTACGTTACTCACTTTAAGTAATTTAATGGATTACGTTACAAACTACATTTTGGGGTATGTAATCTGTAATCTGTAGGGGAATACATTTTAAAAGTAAACTTCCCAACACTGTCAGTCTCCAGGGGACGTTTATCACAACTTAATGCGTCTCCTTTGCTGTAATTCAGGCTTTTTATGCACAGTGCAATGGTGCCCCCAAGTGGTCAATTCAAAAAGTGCATGTAATCAAATGGAAGTCACAGCTTCTTTACCCCTGTAAATTATATAATAAAATGCAAAACTGCAGTGATTTTCTGCCTGACCCTGAGTGGAGGACTAGAGCAAAGGCCATCCGCAGATAACTGAAATATTAACAGGGGAGAAAGAAAAAAAAAAAGAGAATTCAAATGAGGCAAATTGGGAAATTGTCAGCAGTCAAGTGGTCAAATCTATCTTGTGTTGGTAGTTTGACTCCTAGCTGCTCTCCAGAGACTATGGGCTCTGTGCTTACTGAATCAATATGGCTCTTCGGGTTAATTGGCAGTCTCAGGAAAGTCACAGTTCTCACGTCAGATCAGTCTTCAGCTGATTACAAGAATTGAGGGCCACTGTTGAACATTATAGCTGCAAATACGTCGTACAAAGTTTAGAATGAGCAGAGACTGACGAGAAGATATGTTTAGGGTGACGTTTTGGTACAGGGTCATTCTCTATTGTACGGTTACTTAATCAAAATGAAAGCAAACTCGGTGTGGCAGTATAAATGTAGCTTTAATCAGTTACACACAATGTAACAATTTTATAAGGCACATGGGATCAGGTTATTACGATAAAGTGCTTGTTGTCAATAATGCTAACACTCATTCAACACAGACTCTTAAAACAAAAGTTATTGCATTGGAGCCTACTTAAGATGTTCCTTGTCAAAATAAAATGCTTCCATAATCGGTAGGCTTGTCTCCTGCTCGGTGGATAGAGCTAACAAACCTAAAAGTTGACAGATGCTGTTTTGTCAATATTATAGACATAACACCTTGCCAGTCTGTGTGAATGTTTGCGATGGGTGGTGGTCAGAGGAACCGATGGCGCAGACTTGCAGCTGTGGTTACAGAATTATCAAGCATAAAGGAATATAATGTATTGTATGTATATAGTTCTACACTGAAAAAATGGTCTCAGAGGGGTTGCTCAAATTGCAAAAACTAATTTGACAACAATAACATTACTTTTTTACGTTTCTCTGACCAGCATGTTTAAATCTTACAAAGGTCACTTGATTGTGGCCGATGTGAGACCTGCATGTTTTAATCAGGTTGAGGAAACATGACTTTATTAGAATCTGTGGTGAGGCTCCTCCCTCTGGAATTCTCCTCCCCAAAACTTTTGGAGGGAAAATTCAAATGTAACAGGACACAGGACAGATCCAGGAGCAGAGGACACACGATTTTATTTGCTTCTCTGGACTAGAATGTCGTCATTGTTAAAACATGTTTGTGGTGTTTTATTTGAAATTAGAGTTAATGTAAGGACTTTTTCCATGAAAGAAATTATATTTGACTGTCCATCTACAGGAGTGTGACAGTTGTACTCAGATGTGAATGTGTTTGTTCCAGAGTCGTCTACAAACACAGAGTGACGTCCAGAGCTCTGCTGGAGCTGTGGGGAAGTTCATGAATGTTCTATTTGATGTTTCAGGAAAAAGGAAGATGTTTGAGAACCAACAAAACACAGAGCACAGATGAACAAAGTAACTCACTCAACTAAAATGATTTTAAAAGAATTTTTCAAAATGAACTCCTATTGAAACAGTTTTTGTGTTTCTACAGGGTGATGTGGCACTAGGAGACTTTATACCAGATGCCCTCCCTGTTACTGTGTTTAGAGGAAGAAAAGCAGCACACGGTGAGTTTTGTTTCTGCAGATACACTTCTAATGTTCTTGTGATTCTGTTCTGGTCCATTATAGGCACTTTAAATGTATTTAAACATGTACAACAGAGTAGATCATCAGAATGTGATCGTGTTATTCCTGTGTCCACAGGCAGAGACCAGAGCTTCTTCACTGGAATAAATCTTCACTCTGTCCAGCTCCAAACTGTGTGTCTCTGTACTTGTGTGTCTCTGTGTGTTTGATTCTGTTTAAGACAATACAGAACTGTGGAAAACTAAAGACTGTTTTTGTATTATTTTACAAATTTAGATCAATTAAATTAAACATACTTACATACATACTTATACATTTCACGATAAGGTAACATAAGATAAATATACATATTCAGCATGATTTGATCAAATTTCATCAACATGAAAAAGTGACATTCATGTTCTGAGAAAAATATGTGTAGAGAGGATCGAAATAAGTTTCAAAGCCTAAACATAATTTTATTGCATGCAACCGCTTTCCAGAACTTTTTTACACAAATCCAGTGACCTTTTTTTTTCTTCAGTCTAAGATAGATTGTAAAGGGCCCATGTTATGCTGTTTTCTGATTCATGTTATAATGTTTCCTCATCAAAAACATAACTGGAGATGTATTTTGTTTCATTCACTCATGTTGAGCACACAAATCCTGCACATTATAGAGTTCTTCTCTCAAACTGAAAACACCCTGTTCCACTTTGTGATGTCATGTGGTAATACAGAAAATGCTCCACTGTGTTTTTAACCTCCACACACCTTTTTGGATGAGTTCATCTTTGGAACTGCCTATCTCTTTTGAACAAACGTTAAAAGGGAGCTGATAAAATTGAAAAATACCGCTTCTAGACATCACAAGGTGGAACAGAGCATTTTGATCTAAGGAGATGTAGACAAATTAATAACAAAGGCTTACTAGGAGTGCTGTTGGACAAATCCATGTCTTTGGAGGGGCACTGCAGCCAAGTGGTTAAAAGCTGTTTTTATCAGCTTCGGAACATTACTAAACTCAAACCAATTTTATCAAATGCTGATCTTGAAATGATTGTTCACTCTTTTATTTCATCTTGTTTAGATTAATGTAATTCTCTTTTTACTTGTTTTAATGCTTCTACATTTAAGCGGCTGCAACTTGTACAGAATGCGGCTGCAAGGTTTTTAACAGGAGCAAACAGGCGAACTCACATTACACCTGTTTTATCTTCACTGCTCTGGCTTCCTGTTAAGTTCCGTGTTGATTTTAAAATTTTGGTTTTAACTTATAGAGCTTTAAATGGACAGGCGTCCCAGTACATCAGCGAATTACTGCGCTCCTACTCCTCAGGCTGCGCCCTGGGTCTCTTGATGGTCCCAAAGATCCAATTTAAAACTCGGGGTGACGTGTGTTTTCAGGCTGTGGCTCCCAAATTATGGAATGCCCTGCCCCTAGCTCTACGTGAAGCAGACTCTATAAACTCTTTTAAAAAGCAGCTCAAGACACTGCTCTTTAGACAGACTTTTAGTTGACTGTGCTCTCTGTTCTTGTTTATGTTGTTTTTATGTTGTTTTGCTCTGTAAAGCACTTTGTGATTTTTTCATCTGTGAAAGGTGCTATATAAATAAAGATTTACTTACTTACTTACTTACTCAAACATGTGAATGAAACAAAACAACAATTCCAGATATGTTTTTGAGGTAATAACGTTATAACTTGGCTTAAAGCTCACAAGAGTCAATTTTAGATAATACGGGACTTTCAAGAATAATGCGTTCCACTGAATTTGTCAACTACAATCCTGTATGCATGCATAATGACAGGATTACTCTCCTACACCAGTCCAAAAACACTATTAGGGATATACTTTTAAATGTCTCTGAATTACAGCACACTCACAAAATGATCAATCTTTCACGACAGCTTCAAATGGATGACCTTCTCCTGGGGTTTTGATGGTATAGGATGCAGCTACATGGAGAGTTTTGAGGTGATGAGGTACTGCTTAAGACCTGGTCCACTCTGTAGGAGATAGAGTTATAGAAGACAGGGTTACAATGTCCTTCCATATCATCGGGATGTAAGTGGGCAGGGCTGTCATCGTCAGTATCACAGCAGAGACAGGAACATAAAAGTTTCAGCGCTGGATTTTGACAGTTGATCTTTCTCTGTGATGTGACCACAATCCTCTCGTTGACAGGGGAAGGTGGGAGAAGGTTCACACAACTCCTGCTCGTCTCTGTCGGAAGACTCAGATTGCTATTATGGAAAGCTTCGTCCTTACACTGCAAATTATGACCTTGTACCTCCAACTCCGGACCATCTCGTGTGTCCTTGGGCTCAGAATGTTGGTTTTCACTACTCATTTCCTGCTTTGAAACACCCTCCTCGCTGCTAATTGCTAAAAACCTCAAAACCACAAGATTGAGAAACGCACCTACAACTGTTAACCCTACGAGAATGTAAGTAAAACAGAATAAAACATATGGGTATTTTCTCTGCAGAGCATCCTTTTCTTGCAGGGCGACAAAATCCCCAAATCCAATAGTGGTTAGAGTAATGAAACAGTAGTAGTATGCATTGAAGAAAGACCAGCCTTCGAAGTGAGAGAAAGCAGCTGCTCCTATACAGAGGGTGCTACCACAGGAGAGGAGACCCACCAGCACCATGTTACCCATAGACACATTAGTCTTCTGCAGGCCAAGACTCTGCTTAGCCCAGCTTAGCACCACACGCACACAGGTGTTGATGCGCTCTCCCAGGCTTTGGAACATCACGAGGGTCAGAGGGATGCCCAGAACAGCATAAAACATACAGAAAGCTTTCCCTGCGTCGGTACAGGGAGCAGCGTGGCCATAGCCTGCAAAACAAAGAGGCCGGATTATATCAGGTGATGTTAGACAGCAGGGTGTAAAAGATACTGCGGTCCATTTCGGTGATGAAACATTGATCAGTAACTAATGAAGTAAACAAAGTCCATTCATGTTGATTGTACTGTATGAGAATTTGATTTATTTTTTATTATTTGTCTTATGTGATAATGAGTTTGAAAGTAACGTACATTTTTGTATAAAAGAAACACAAAAATTCTAACAACTCACGCTTATGTCCTGTCAATGACTATTTCATCTTTGTTCTTACGACCTCTTGTATATAGTTGAGATATATTTGTATATATATTCTATATTTTATTTTTACTTACATTTATATAATTATGCCTTATTTGACACGTCTCTTGCTATTTTAGCTATTTTATTATTATTATTATTATTATTATTATTATTATTATTATTTTTGTTGTTGTTGTTGTTGTTGTTGTATTTTATATTTTTGTTATTATAATATATTATGATGTGTGAGCTACTGTGTCCAAATTATTTCCCTTGTGGATCAATAAAGTTTGTCTAAGCCTAAGTCTAAAGTCTAAAACACATTTTTTACTGGTTTACTCTGTGCCTGTTTCTCTCTCAAACAGATTTTGGTGCAACATTTCCTTTAAAAGGATAAAAATGAATATAAAGGGACAAATAACATCTTCCAGTATAATGATTTTTATATACATTCAAATCACAGGTTTAAGCGTGTTAGTTCAGGTATTATTGTGTCCTGCCCTTCATATAGACTTGCCAGCCAATGTGTGTAATGTGTAAACATCATTGGCACTTTTAAATAGCTCCTTACAACCTGTTTCTTTTCCATGGCTAATTGGTCCTCACTAATCTATTATGCATATGGCTGTGGCCTTTGGTATTGATCAAGTGTGACTGAATAGGCTACTGGTCCAAAAAAACGCAAGGTAAAAAAAAGTGCTTTTTCCAACTATGAATGTGTTTTTAAAAATCAGCTTAAAATAACTTGCTAAATACTGTTGTAAAAAGCACCCGGGCATGTAACATGACATTGTAGACACTGGTGTCTCGTGAGATCATGAGAACAGTACAGTAACAAATATAAACAAAAAAACTATATAGACAATAGCACAATGTGTGTTCTAACAGACAACATCTCGAGCTTCCTAACAATAATGTCATTGCTCTGACTGACCACTTATTAAAATTGCATTAGTCTAGTACACCTGGAATAAACTGATATTTAGTATTGTTGCTTTTTGTACTTATTTTTGCCATCCTTTACAAAACAGCGAATCTTTGTATTGTGATGGGGAAAAAAGAGTGAATGGGTTACTTCCAGACAAAACTACAATAGTTGTGTGAAGCTGAAATAATTTAGTATCAAATAGTGAATAAGGCAGTTGGCTTAGAGGGTAGTGTGGACAGACCCCTCCTCCACCCCATTTAACCCATATGTTTATTAATATGCACTGTCTCTTTAAAGAACTAAATCAAAATCTCACATTCACATTTGTGAGGTGCAATTACACCTATTGCACACGCTGTGTACACTTAAAATGAATGTATTGCCTGTGCTCTAACTTCTTCCAAAAAGGTAGGCTAATACAGTCACAAATTAAGCCGGGTTGCCAGTGCCTTAACTTGCATATTGAGAGCACAAAGGTTTTTCTCATTCTCAATACAAGTGCAGGCCATGTTTCATGTGCAAAATTCACTCCCTGAGCTGGAGAGGCTGCACTAGCACTGATTCATGATTGTCTGCAGGAGGTGGGTTTGGGTAGTGACCATTCAGATCAGAGACTGGCCTTTTCGGTTTGTTTCCAGCATTTTTAGGCAGAAACTACCAGTGAGAGACTCGTGTGAGGCCCATTCTGCTTTGTGATTGGATAATTGTCTTGAGCTCCATAACACTGTATGAAAACATTGACATTTGCCATTATGTCATATGTCAAAAGCTGTAGCCTATTTGATTTGAACAGGTCTACTTTATATCTGGGGTCAATAGCCTCAGGCATGGCATGTTTGTTAAACTCTACAGTCCAAAGCGGAGCTATAGTTTACTCAGGCTTAAGACACGGCCACACTTAACACGGCCATGTTAAGTGCAGGCTACTTGCCTATTGTGGTGATGACTGTAATGGCAAAGTAAAAGGATCCTGCAAACTTCCACTGGCGGCCCGCTCGGTGCGGCTCGGACAGCAGCGCCACGCTCTCGATTTGTTTGAAGTCGCTGTCTGAGAAGCCGTACTTGTTCATCATTTCATTCAGTTCCTGCTCCAGCGCCTTCTTCCTGGAGCTCTCCCTCTCGGACTCCAGGGCAGCAAACACGGCGGCCCCTATGATCAGGTAAAACACCATGGACACGATGAGACATACTGTCCTGATGTTCTGCGTCTTCATCCTCACCCCCGGGACGCGCGTGGAGCGGAGGTTCCGAGACACGCACGTTGGACACCAGAGCATCTGGGACACTCCACATTCATCTCCATCACTTTATGTGCCGGGGCCCCGCGGCCTGCTAGGATTACAGCTGGTTCCAGTGTTGAAACAGAAGACACACAATTAGTGCGTCGTGGACTGGAGTGGCACAATAAGGCGTGTCTGCGTCAGTTATAGGCAACCTGAGCCCAGCGCTGGCAGCACCTTGACTTTCAACAGGAAGCAGTCCAATCACATTAGAGCTGACGTGCGAAACTCTACTAAACATTTATGAGAGTAAAACTTGTCCGGACAATGCGCAGGACAAAGTGATTAGAATAAGCAGCGTTGAGCCTGTGATCAGTGTGATTCATTTAGTAGGCTGTTTCACAGATCATTAGGCCTTTCTATAATTCACTGTTAGAGACATTTCATTTGTGTTTCCAAACTTCAGCAGTGATAAAACATAGACATAAGGGTGCAACTTCAGAAGTAGAATTTCTGCAGGGCTGAACACAAATTGCTTTTTGAAGTTCTTGTGCCAAGACATTATAAAGTGGCAGTTGACCTTTATTTCCCCAGTTATACACAGCGTTTGAACTTTCCAAAATGTCCTCATTCAACACAAGGATGCCTAGTGACAACTCCTTCTTGTAGACAGGCTTGTTACAAAGTCACTACTGTGCAAAACATGATCAAGGCTGCAGCTGCAATTTCCTCACTATTTTCTGAGAGCTTATTAAATGCAGTGCTTTAGCAGGCAGTAGAAAGCACCTGTCGTTAACAAAAGTTATGAAGATATGAACATCTGTGAAAGTGGTACAACAGAGACACATTTGAGTACTCTTCCATACATGTCAGCTTTACTGGAGTCCACAGGATCTAAACATGGGAAACATTCAGGATGAGAGAGCGGGGTTGTGCAAAAGAGGAGAGAGGAGGGCAAGTGCATTAATTGTTTCTTAAATAATGTTCTAATTGTTATGTCTAAATATATATATATATATATATATATATATATATATATATATATATATATATATATATATATATATATATATATATATATATATATATATATATATATATATATATATATATATATATATGAAACGTACACTGAAAACAGTAAGCTAAATAAACTTTGCAGAGGCAAAACCTCAACATCATATAAATTAACACCAGTAATATGACGAACAAAACAACATTTGTTATGACTGGTGCCTATCTGATGCTGGGCCCGTATCTCAGCTGAGCCGGACAGCTGCATAGTGCAGGAAGACATTAAGGGCAGGATGTCCTCTGAGAACAGATATTTCACTGCCTGTGTTCCTCATTGGGAGAGAATGAGGCGGAGAAATGCAAACACAATGCTCTAAATCTGATAGCAAAGGGTGACACTCATGGAGATAAAGGGTGCCATTATAGACATCATAAAGTCTCATTCTACTACAGTGTTTGAGGAAAATGTCCCCTTATGATGTGTGTTGTCATTTTAAGCCTATGTCAGTGATGCTGTCAAATTAATTGTAGAGTAAAGGCAGAGCTGTCGATGAGAAAATACTCGTTACACTAGACTAGTCATTATCAACCTATCAGTTAATTGTTCTATTTTTGATATTTTTGTCCATATGTTGAGGATGAGGAAAGGATCCACATATTGAGTCCATTTAAAAGTTAGGTCTAGTTGTCTTTGTTTTTTCTCCATAATGGGCATTGTTCATAAAGAGTTCAAGAAAATCTCTCTTTATTCCACCTAAAATGTAGGCCTACATGATAGAAATCATTACTTTAACACGTACGTTTTATACAGATATATAACCTCTAAATAAGGTTCATTTATGTACTCTATTTTTTTAGTTTATATTTACAAATGTAAGCCTGTCTGTATGTAGATCTATTTTATTATGAAAACATTACATGATGAAAAGTTTAATAGGCCTACATTTTACAGAAGAAACTGATGCTTTTTATTTGGTCAGATCTGAGGTTTTGCATTTGACTGTTTCCTGACACCTAGTGGCCAACGCGTAGAACAACCGGCCAGGCGTGAAGAGAGGATATTGCCCCAATATAGGCCTAAAAAATACAAAAATAAAATACAGCCTCTGTTATGTCAATATTGGTATAGGCTAATTCGGTCTACTGACACAAATGAGCATTTTCCAGTGGCTTAGTTTGCAGTTAAGTTTCAGTTTACGTTAAAATGCAAGGGGCGTTCCAATGCAGAAGTGAAAGTAAAAGAAGTGCTCTACTTTCTTTTCACTTGAGCAAATGGTGATGCTGCTTTATCGTCATTTTAAACAATTATTCTTTAGGATGTTTTGGTGGGTGAGAAGCCGGTCTTTTTTGGAGGGGATGAGACAAGCGTTCTCGGGGTCATGGTTTTACATTGTCAAAGTATGTTTAGGACTCGTAGTTCCGCTGTTGGCGATACGACACTGGGTTAAAGGCCCTAATAGTCGTAATGAGCCCAGAGAAGCGAAAACTTCCGTGAGCTCGGAGGAGGTCGATATTTTCACCGATGACGAGGATACCGGGGAGCCCACCGCCCCCGTACCGGAGCCTGCGCAGAACAATCCGTGCGCTCTCACGGAGGACCACGCGTGGAGAGATGGCCCCGATGACTTCCACTGTGACTATGATTCCACCTGGGAAACTGACTCGGACCACAGCCAGGACCAAATTCAAGAAGAAAGCGAAGGAAGTGTTCAAGGGGGACAGAGGGAGTGGACGGGTCACACGTTTAAGCAAGTCTCCAATTGGCAGTCGGTAAGTCAGCCTAAACCACCTCATCCACTCTACTCGTGTAGTCAAATGAGTAAACACTTAATATTAGACTATCTTTCTTTTTTTTCCCTGCAAATTTGTAACAGTACAAGTTTGAGAGATTTCAAGCTGCTGCCAGGGATCTACAGAATTACAGACACAACTATCCGGTAAACAAAACTTATATTATATATATATATATAACAGCAAGATTATGTGTTAATATTCTTGGTCATTCTTCCGTTCTTTTATCCAGAACAAACCTTTCCGGGGTTGGGAATATCAAGACCGTGAAACTGTAGGCTGCCTTTGATTTTCTACCTAAAAAAAAAAAACCTGTTCTGTTAAGGCCTTAAAACATAGTTGCTAATCTTCTTTCTGAACAGGATAAATACCCAAATTTGGACTTCTACCTTGGAAATCGGCCCTCTTTACCTGATGGTACGTATAGGTCATAATAATAGGCTACTTCTTTACTACTTCAAAGGCCTAGTTGACCCTTGTGTTTCACAGATGTATACATAAGTGACTACCATACTACGTGGAAAGGAAAATATGACACTTTGGAGTCTGTCCACACCTATATTCAGTGGTAAGTATTTAGGCCTATACTAGGTCACATCATAGCCTACCTATTTTTAATCTTTATTTAGGCCTCTTATAGCCTATTTTTTAATTACTTCAAATTCTATACAGGCTGTTTCCCTTGCAAGAGCCAGGAGTAAATCCTGAGGCTAGTACACTCACCGAAGACGAAATAAAGGTAGACTAAGCAGGGTTCTGGTTTAAAAGGTGTCCCTCATAAATTACCAATTATATCTGTGCCCATGTAGGAGTTTTGTAAGAATGATACAGCAAGAAAACACCTGCTTGAATCATACAAGCTCATGTTGGATTTCTATGGAATGGAGCTGTGTGATGAGAAAACTGGAGCAGTGAAGAGAGCCTGGAACTGGAAAAATCGCTTCTCCAATCTGAACAGGTATGCTACTGGTCTAGTGGCCAATTCTGAAAAAGGCCCCTGAAAAAACATCTAGTATGATAATAAAATGCCCTACTACAAAGATATCTGAGGTGGATGCAACTTGATTTAGGCCTTTTTTATTGACTAATAGCACAATCACTACAAAAACCTGCTTCAGTCATGCACACGGACTTTAGCCTACTTTATGACAGGATTATGAAATAAGAATTTATAAGAAATAAGAAATATGAACTTCTCCTGGCATGAGTATAATAATAATTGAATTACATTCCCTGGTTAGCATGATTTAACTTTTCAAATTAAATATTATATCTACAATAGAATACAAACAATCTGAGGTCCTTTTCCCTACACACATAAACATGTCTTAATCTGTAGCTAAATAGGTTTTGTAATTATTTTACAACTTGCTATTATTTAAGTATTCTGTATAAGTAATTTTGTTCAAGCACAGAATGCAGTAGCCTGTGTGCGTCAGAGATTTTCAGATTGTTCATTCAAGACTTGTATTGTCTATAAATGCTAGATTCAAGAATGCTGTTTATTATTATTGCTCTTGCTATGCTATTGCTCATTTGTCCTAAATTTTATAGTCCAGTCTAACAACAGGCTTTGCATGTCTATGGTCTCATCATTTGGCCTAAGATCAAAGCAGGCGTCAGACCCATATCAAGTGCCATCCACAGATGTTCACATAGTAGGGTATTTTATAATATGAAAACAATGATACTAGCATTCTCTCTCCACTTGGGTGATTTATTCTTATTTGGACACTCATCTAACAAGCCACATTTGTGAATTTGGCATGAGTCCTTAATATGTTCATTAAATTTTGACAGATATAGTCACAACAACCTGAGGATCACCCGGATTCTGAAGTGTTTAGGAACCTTGGGATATGCTCACTACCAAGCCCCTCTGGTCTATTTCTTCTTAGAGGAGACTCTGGTGAATGGAGAACTTCCAAGAGTCAAGGACAGTGTACTAAACTACTTCCTGTTTACGGTGCTTGACAAGAAAGAACGAAGAAGTCTTCTTGAGTTTGCTTATCTCAACTTTAACAAAAATGAAGAATTTGTGTGGTGTCCCTTAAAGATCCAGAAGAAATTGGAAAAACAAAGCATCAAAACATGAAGCATCCAAACAAATCCACTTTTGTGACAATGTGAAATACATTTGTGGGCAAAGAAAATCTTAGGTATGACATTAAAACCGCTTGATTCCTTATATTATGAAGAAACTGTTAGGTGACAGTCATTTCCTGTTGTTCAATATACAATAATTTTTACCAAAATGCTAATTGTGTATTCCATATAAAATAAAAATATACAAATATTGTCTACTTCATATTCATTACATTCCACCAATGTTATATATTCAGTTCATTCTACTAAGTAAAACAAAGAGACAGAAGGAAGAGATGGTTTAACGTTGCAGACAGTTGAAGTCTTTTTTTATTTCAAAGCTGCTCAACATAAACACATTGTACCGTGCGATGCCCACAGTTCTGAACAGTGTTGTTTAAACTTCACATTACCCATTTTACATATATGGCTTTTTACTTTTTCTACTTAGAAAAGCTTATTAAAAACATCAGTATATACACATGGACATCTATTTACACTTTAAATTGTGTGTTAGAGATCAGTTACATAATTGGTTTAATTAAAAATTTATTTTGACAGGAGTAACATGGTTAAGCCTATAAGACAATCACAAAGAAATAGGAGGCATTTTGAGGAAATGTCACTTTAAAAGTATAAACCAAGAAAATACAAATACTGTCAAAAACCTTTGTCAAAATAATGAAGATTTACAAATACAGTTTTACATACAGATGTTCATTATTTGCATAAAACCAACATTATTTTTTGTCATGCTCAGCCTTTTCACTGTCTCTGGATGAATCATGTTTATAGTCTTTTTTGTCTTCTTTCTTTTCTCTGCTTCGACTCCTGTCTCGCCGCTCTCTATCTCTATCCCGGTCTCTCCCCCTTTCTCTGTCCCGGGTGCGTTCTTTCCCACGATCTCGCTCTCTGCTGCGAGATCGGTCCCGCCTGCGCTCCCGTTCTCGATCCCGATCCCTGTCACGGTTTCTGTCCCGGTCCCGGTCCCGGTCATGTTCTCTTCTGTCAGATTCTCTTTCTCTGCCCCTGTCACGCTCCCTCTCCCGGTCCCTGTCTCTTCTTTTGTCCACAGCTTCAGACTCCCGATGTCTCTCCCCTTCCAGTTCCCTCAGCCGTTCACCCTCAGTTCCACGGCTGCGGTCCCTCTCACGACTGCGGTCTCTCTCACGACTGCGCTCCCCTTCTCTTTCCCTCCCTCGTTCCCAATCCTGCTCCCGACTAAATCTCCTAGTCTGACTTCTATCCCAGGGCAGTCTTCCTGGATGTGGCCCTTCCCGGTCCCGTCTACGATCCTCTGGTATATCTCGTCGAAGCTCCTCAGGAAGCTGTGGAGTACCAGACGAAGATTCTCTGTGGCTTCCCTCAAAGCGACCAAAGCTATGGGGTGAATCTTCTCGATTTGAGGAGTTCCTCCTTCTCATTTCAGGAGACTGCCGATGCCAGTGGTCTTCTCGATGAAGTTCAGGACTGTGGGTTCCCATGCGACCTGGCGAAGATCTGGGATCATCTGAAGGTGTAGGCAGCAATGGACCACTGTGGCGAATGGGTCTGGGCTCATCTGAGTGACGGTCAAAGCGATACCTCTCAGAACCAGCAAAAGGCTGAGTGCCGGGGGGACGACTTTCTTGAGGTGGAGGACCTCTGTGTTCTTCAAAAGACCCCCTGTGAGGAGGTGAACGATGTCTGGAGCTGTACTGGTTATGAGGATTGAAATGTTGCCCACTCATGTCTCCACTTGGAGGGGGCCCTCTTCTGTCCTCATATTGACTGGGTGGAGGCCCCCGAAAACCAGAACCTGGTGACGGGCCTTGATCCTTGTACATGCTGACCGTATTTGGGGGCTGGTGTGATTCAACATTGAAAGGACTGTCCTTTTTAAATGTCTCTGCAATAGGGGGTGGTGGCCCTCCATGGGCACTAAACTGAGAGGGAGGGGGTCCCCTAGGTGCAGAAAAGTGAGAAGGAGGAGTAAGCCGGTTGTCAAAATGTCCAGGTGGAGGTCCAGTGAATGGTGGTGGAGGACCCCTGTTACCTGGCAAGTTAAAAGGTGGTGGTGGGCCAGTGAATCGAGGTGGTGTGATGCCGCTCTGTGGGTCAAAATTAGAGGGTGGAGGAAGACCTGGGAGAGGACCAGGTGGCACGTGTTGTGGCCGAAGTGAAGGGTCAAAGATCTGAGGAGGAGGTCCTCTTTGGGCAATAAGAGGGAAGGGAGGGGGTGGTCCTCGATTTGGCATCATGTTCTGAGGAGGACCAGGGGGCAGCTGTTGAGGAGGGGGCTGCGAGGCTGGCCACTGATTTGGATAGGATGAGTAAGTGCCAGGTAGTGGGCCAAAGGGTTGGACAGTAGGCCCTTGCACTGGAGAAGGTCCGTGGCCAGGAGGAGGTATGTGAATGGGGGGAGGGGGTCCTTGCATTGGTAGTGGACCAGACATGGGAGGGGGTCCTTGCATGGGGGGTGGCATAGTCATGGGTGGAGGTCTCATCAGAAGGTTTTGTCCCTGCAGTGGGTCTGTTCGTGTAAAGTTGGACGGAGGTGGTATGTCAGGTGGAGGCCTGTATTCATTGTCATAGGCAGGTGGAGGAATGTGACGAGACATGTGATGGGGCTTGCTGTCCATGGTGGAGCTCTGAGTGAGCACTGGAATTGTGGATGTCATAATGGAACTGTTTGTACATTTATTATAGAAATCCTTTTCATCTTTGTCTTCCCTATACTCTGCTTCCATAGATGTTTTGAGAATAGAGGCAGCATTTGGCCAAATACTGAATTTGTCTGCTTCTGTTTCAGACTTGTCAGGCTCTGGTAGCTCAGTTGTAGTTTTGCTCTCGTCCATGTAATTGACCTCCATATCAGCTTCCACTTCCTCTCCTAACAAAGGAATAGACACCTCGTCTTTGACTGAATCCATAATGAAGGGGAGTGTCTCACTTTTCACAGCATCCTCAGACTGTGTTGTGTCTGGTTCATGAGTGGACTCCACTGCTTCAGGGGCCTCAGACATCATTGGTGCTGGAGCCTTAGGTTCTGAAGCTTTAGGTTCTGAAGCTGCAGAGACATCAGCCACTTCATTATCCTGAAGTGCTTCCTCTTGCTTTATTGTTGCAATCTGGTGAGGATCCCCTCTTTGTCTGGGATCTCTTTTCTGGTTAATTAAAGGAGAAACTGATGTGGACTTAACCAATTCTTCAACTTTCTTACCAAGTTGAAGCAAGTGAGTACTGGCTAAAAGTGATTTAGTGGGTTGAGCCAATAGTGCCTCTGTTGGTTGTTCCTGCTTTTGCAGAATCTGGTGACCTGTCTGTTTCAGGCTCTCCAAAATTGTTTGTGCTTTACTCTTACAGTCAATTTCTATTGTAGTTTGATCAGGCACAATTGTTTTGACATTGTCGAAAATTGATTCATCTTCTGGGTCATAAGCCACATCATCACCATCATTGGCTACAATGTCAGGCTGCAAATTTACCTTAGTTGTTCCTTCTATTCTGGCAGGATTTTTTGGTACATTGTAACCATTGCTTGGGTCATACTCTTCCTCCGGATCATACGGTCGATCATCTTCATCCTCCACTAAGTCCTTCTCTTTAGACAATGCAAACTGCTTAACAATGGGATCTAAAATATTAACAGATGGAGCAGATGTCTCTCCAGCTTGATCTGGTGGAGAGTTAGAAGCCTCAGAGTCCTGCTTTTTCTTCCCAAAAAGCGTGTTGAGAATTGTCTGGAGGGGAGTAGCTGATGCCACAGAAGGGTTGGCAGCGGATAAGGATGGAGACTCTTTACCAGTGCTCGCCGCTGCAGCAGAGGCTTGAACAGAAGACAGGAAGGACAGAACAGAGGAAGGGGTAATGGTACTGCTTGGGGCATCAGAGGAAACTGGTGGAGGTGAACCTGGAGGAGTTGTGCTAAAAGGAATTTCTAGGGAATTTCGTGAACTTTTCTCTGCCTTTGCCAATGGAATCGGCTTCGGTAAGCCAGTGTCATCTGTGTCTTTGATTTGTATTTTGGATCTCTTTTCGTCAGTATCAACTGGAGCACCTGCACGTTTCCTGTCCTTCTGACAGATCAAAAGTCCAAGGAGGAGATTGGGACGTGCTGGCTCCAGGCCTGCAACATGAACACACCCATGTATTGTGTAATCTGTAAATAATGTAATTATACAGCACATACTGTAAACTGGGAATGCTTACCTGGGCCATCAAAGGGCAGTAGTTTGGGTGGTAATGGGTCCTTAGAACTAAGCGGGATGAGATACAGGTCTTTGATTCGACGATTATTGTTGGCTACCACACCAAATCTCTTTCTACTACTAAAATATGAATAAAGAGAGACATAGGCCACCTCCTCTTCTTCTGTGGCTGGATGGAAACGAATTAAACAGAGCTCCTACAACAAAAATCATGTCAACAATAGCATATTAGCAATTTTTATTAAAAAATAACATTTGTAAGTATGAGCAGCTACGCTTACCTTGGACAATGATGTTTTTAGTTTCCCTACATAGTCCCACACAGTATTAGGAGATATTCTTCCACCTATGTGAATGGTGTCAGGTAAATCCTGTGGGAGGGAGGACAATCTCATGAAGGGCACAAACATCAAAAGAATATAGCCCACTGGTTGTAATGTTACATAAATTTGCTTACCTCTTTAAGATGTTCAAAAGATCCTGACACAAGGTAAGCTTTGGTCACAAACTTGGCAACATTTTGCATGTTCATAAATCCTTTCCAGATTTTCTCTTGACCATGGAGGAAGATTGCTGTTTCACCCTCGGGTGGAGGCTCAGAACTGTAGACAATTAAGTTAATGTGTTGTGAGTTAAAAAATTATTCAACTGAAATGCAATAATATTGTAAGATCGATTTAGCACCTTGCTTTAACTGTTTTGGTCACAGCCACTGCAGGTGGTGGTGCAGGGGGCATTGGTAATGGAACTTTTGGTCCCAGCTCCACAGGTGCAGAAACTGGAGCAGCTGGGAGTGGCTCTGTCAAGTTGTTTGCCGGTTTCTCTGGAACTGTAAAAGCAACTGTTCCAGTGGAGCCATGCCGGGCCATACGTGGATCTCTGCGGGTAATGGTCACAGAGGAGACTGCAGGAGTCACAGGAGCAGCAACTGGAGGTGGCACCAAGAGATTCGGATCTTCCTGATAAATCTGTAATTGCGGTTCTTGCATTGAAAGGTCCACACTTGTTGGTTCGTAGGCAAGGTTAGTTGGCTCATAGGACACAATGGGAGTGGGTTGGTAGGTGTAGGCTTCCTGATGTTGGTAAGGCTGTGGTTGGGATGCAGTTGTGACATCTCCAGACCTAGAAGAGGTCTGCTCTTGTTTTGATGGTTTTATCTCTTTTTTAGCATGTTTTTCTTTCTTAGCCAACAGCTCCTCTTCCTTTTTCTGACCTGAATAAACAGGTTTGGTTATTTTAGAGCACTGATAAGGTTAAGATAAGATTTATAACTATGCTAAGATCTAATATATTTAATTATTGAATGCTGTTGAGTATAACATATGTGTTCTAGGAAGATTTTAACTAAATTCACAGTAAGTGTCACTTACCTGTACAAATTTTACAGTTGAGGTCAAACAGATGGGTCCGGTGTTCTGAAGTAGTGTCTTTAAGCATACTGCTAAAAATATCAGGCATGCTGCTCCCCTCAGAAGCTGCAGTTACAGAGGAACCCGGTGGTACAGTGCTTGTCTCATCTTGCTCCTAAAGTCAAAAACAGGATCTGTCAAGATCTCATGGACACCCAACTTGGTTCATTTGAGACAAGTAATGGCAAGTAATGTTAATAAAGGAAAGCTACAGAGATAGTGAAAGGTAAGCTAGGTGTTAAATATGAGGTTTAAGTGGACATTATTGGATAGTAAAAGACAAAGAGCAGCAGTGAGGCATCACTTACTGCAGAAGAAGCCAAACGAGAGGATGAAGTAGATGCAGCCATACATACATCTGCATCTGATGAAGGGGGAGCGTCCTCCATGTCAATGTTGCGAGATTCATGTCTGTGTTTAGAATGAGATCTGGGAGACTGTGCAAACAGGAGAACACAAATTAAAATGGAATGCTTTTTGAAATGTATATTTCAGTATATATATTTTTTAATATACCTCTGATACCTCCGTCTTCCTCCACTCTGATATCTCCTTAGAAAGTAGCTCTTCTGAACTTAGTCTCACAAGTCGAAAAGGAGTAACCTCTCCTCCAATAACCCTGTAAAACAGGCCCTGAAATAAAAGAAAACATTCATTATAATAAGTTAACTGAAGCGTGCGTTAAAGATAAAAGGTGATGCAGGCCAACTTACTTTGTTTTTGGGATCCTTCAGATGCAACATGAGAGACCTATATTTGTTCTTGTACTTGCTGTCAGTGCTGAGACAAAGATTGAACATTTCCCTCTCAATAGCATATGCAAGCTTTCCCACTTCACTCTCAGTCATTTTCAGATCATCACTGTCACTCACCCTGATGGTTAGAACAACTTAGTTAACACATATTTTTTACTTATGAAAAACTGAACTAAAGCAATCATATTATATAATATGTATACACACACATATATATAATCATGTTCCCACCTCTTATACAAGATGTCTGTCAGTGAGCGGCGTATATTCTGTCTCATCTGGTTGTTGGGTGGAGGCGGCATGGGGGAGGCGGCTGGTGCAGGTGAACTTGAATGTGAGTGTCTAGATGAGGAGTGGTGGTGGTGACTGGAGGAACTTGAAGATGAGGAGCTCTTGGAGGATGATGATGATAATGATGACTGACTTGGGGGCTGGCTGTCTTTTGGTTGTGGTTGCTTCTTGGGGATGGTGAAGCTGGACTTTGTAACTCTCAGAGCTCCAGTAACATGGATTGGACCTGCCGGGTATTGCGAGGGGGACTGAGTAGAGCTTGGTTTCTTGGACTTGGCATTGGTTTTGCTTGGAGTTGTTGTGGGTTTCTTTGAGGCTTTAGAGCTACTGGATTCGCGATTTGACTTTTTGCCCTTAGGAGAGACCTTTGAGATCTTAGCAGGAGGAGGAGAGGATGACTTCTTTGGCTTAACTGGAGTAACAGTGGCAGGCGTCTCGAGCGCCGGCTGCACGTCCTTCACTTTCTGTTCTTTCTCAGGTAGCTTATCTTCTTTTGGTGGAGCTGGACACACAAAGAACAGGTTGTCACACTTGTTGTCATGTCTCGTATTATGCAGAACAAGCCAAAAAAGTTTAAATAATCAATAGCACAAAAAAGGAATGAAATAGCATTTCATGTCACACTAGCTCTAAAATCCCTTTGCCAATCTTCTCACAATAGTATATTTTTGCAATTTGCAAAATTAATCACCTCATCAAAGTATGTCATCTCATATAATGTAGAATATATTTGATATCACTGACCAAGAAATTCCAATATTTCATGTTTATCTGAAATTAACCTTGTCTTGTTTTAGTTTAATGGTAGCACGTCCAATTGAGACACTTGTAATCCCACAGTAAAATAATTTTGTTCAAATCTATGGTCTGATTGAATAAAAAAAATCTATTGTTGACACATCTGGTACAAGGCAAAGACAAAAAATAAACATGGGTGTTAAAAACCTATTTTGAGACTTGGGGACTTTCTCACACTAGAATAAAAATGTGACTACCATAAAATATGCAACCAGCAATAATTTATCAATTTTTTAGTGCCCCTGCTGTTATCTTTGCTTGACCTGTTTAATAGCCATCCAAACCAGGAGCACTGCTCATTTTCATTTATCTTTTTGTTGTTGAAAAAAAAAAAAAAAACAAACAACAAAAAAACTTATAATAATAATAATACATCAACACAAACCACAAGTTTCCAAAACAACCAGCTCAGTCATAGTCAACGTACATGTGTGTGATAATGTGGACAATCTTGTATTCAAAACTACCCTACAAGACTAACTTGACATTTCTAAATCCATTCATCTTGTTGTACAAATCAATAGAATACTATAAAGTCAGTAACATCCACAGTTCATTAAAAACAGCTCAACAAAGATGGCAGATGCCAAAACTATCAGGTGAAAATGTGTGCAAAGCTGAAGACTTCTCATTCACTGCACTGAGCCTCCATCTTCACAGTCTTCTTGGAGCCAATCTGAACTTCACAGCAGCATCTCAAAGTGAACCAGCATGTGCCAGGGTCTTCTTTAGTGACTGCCTTCTGTATGGAGTTCATCCAATAATGCCAGAATCCATTAAATGTTTTAGCTCACTCAATTTTATATGATTACTTAGTACAGGTGAAGACATCTCAGCATGCCAACACTGCTCACATAATCAATGGAGGCTTCCAAAAATCTCTCATAATCACCTTTTATTAAAAAGCCAGGTACCTACATGAGATCTTGTATTAAAATCAACACTTTGAGTACAAAGTAGCACTTACAAGCACAGGCCAAAAGACATTACAATCCATGTTGGGGAATTCTGACACCTACCTGTTGATGAAATACAAGGCAAGACATTTCCTGATCCCATCAAGTGCCCAGAATGCAGAACATATAGAACAAGACAAAACCAAAGATGCCTCCTATTCTCTTGCTCATGGCACTTTTATGTCTTTCAGCTTCTCTGTGACCTTTAATCAAGCTCATTATTTATGATTTCTGATTCATATTGAAATACTTACCCACAACACTACCTATAACTTACCTTTTCAGCAGGATTCATGGCTTCATTAAAACATACAGAACAAATAAACAAAAATAGTACCAGATTGTGTGCAGACAGGTTCACTGAAGTCAGGTTAAAGTATAGATAATGACCATCAATAAATACTTAAAATCACATATAAACAATAGCCAAGCGGTTCAACAATAGCTCGAGACCCTCAATGAGATACATACACTTTTTGTTTAAAACTGTTGTTGATATAGATGCAGTCTTTTCTGGAGTGACAGCAATATAATTATGGTCACTGGACCAGGACGCCGTGGAAGGAGGTGGTGGCTGTTCCTCTGCATGTGCGTCTTCATCATCCTCATCTGTATCAGGGCTGTAGTCTTCATCACTATCCACCTTCCGCCGCTTCTTACTGTAAGTGGCACTCTTTGAGGTGAGAAGAAGACAAAAACAGATTTTTAGTAAAATATTTTCTGAACTAAGGTCAGTCAGACTTGTTCAGCAATAAGGATTCTTGACAATGAAGTGGTAAGTTCCCAGACTATGGTCTGTAGAAATAAAATATGCCAAATTAAACCATACTCCTGTATATAGTCTGCGTGCAAAGTGTACTTTCATGGATAGCAATGCTTTCTTTTGAGCCCATTTGTACTTAAATCAGTAAATGATTAAACTCATAGTTCTGAGCAATAAAGAAAACTCATAAAAAATCAACAGGGTTGGTTGACTTCTTCATCTGTTGGCTTCACCTTTTGTACTCACTCTTCTCGCTTACTGTGACTGAACATAATCTGTTCAATATTTGTCCCAACAGTATTTACAATGACCTTTATGCTTGAGTACAAAAAAGTTAAAGGCACACACTCCTAACTACTCACCCTAGATATTAAGGCAGGTTGAAAGATCTACATCTTCACAGTCTGAGATAATCATTGTTAAAGACAATGATGCAGGTTTTGGTGGGGCAAATATTAACTTAGCTTGACTTCTCAATTAGCACTTTGTGCAACTTACTGTATCCAACAATATTTGCATGATTTTAAAATACCTTTGAAACTCTTATTTTACATGTGTGATACAAAATCTTGTGTACATAGATATAAAGTATGCTATAAAACCAGACTTTCATTATTATTAAAACACCTAAAACATTTTAGACAATTTTTCAAGAATCCATGTTTTTGTTATAAGCAAGAGCACATCAGTTTCTATACCCTGTTAGCTCCTCAAAGGCTCAATTACTTAGCTGTAAATCATGCCCACTATGGAGAGAGCCAATTGGAAATGACTTGCCTCTACAGCTCTCTCTCAGTGGGCAAGACTGAAAGCAGAAGAAGCAAATCTTTGAGGATAGGAAGTGTTATAACATGGACTAAAAATTTGATGGGTTTAAAAAAATACAAATAAAATATTTTAGTTGCCAGGCTCAAATGTATGACAGCAAGCCCTTTAACAATAGTGATAACTATTCCACAGCTGATTCAGTTTTTCGGTAATCCCATATGCTACAAATATCTGAGGATGTGAGTAATAATACTAGTAAATATTATGTTAATGGAAAATTAGCCATCTGAAAAACTAAAACATTTCAAATTGTCTTGGGAAAAAAAAACATTAATCTGTACGAATACAAATGAATACAACTGTTCAGGTAGATATAGAAAATAGAAAATATGAATACTGAACAACAGACAACAATAATTGAAACCTCAATCAAATTTTATTGATGGTCAGGGAAGACTAAAAGTTGAAATGACCCGAGTTACCTTGGTTTTCGACTTCTGAGGCTTGGTCTTGTCCTTCTGACTGGGCTCAGTGATAGACTTCATGGCAGCAGCAGCATGTCTCAGGATGCAGTCATTTCCACAATAAACAGAGTCTGGCTGGGCATTCTTTTCGCAGCCAGGTCCTATACATTTGGGGGCAGCATCCTCCGTTTTGTTCACCACCTGCTCCTCTGTAGTCGCTGTTGAATCCACTTCCACATTTGAAGCTACTTTATTCTCTGTGTCCGATGGCGGTTTGTGCTCCATTTTAGATACTGCGGCTGGCATCTCCGCTTTTGGTTCTGCTGCCTGCTGCACTACCTGCTTTGATTTAGTACAAAATACAATTAAAAAGTTCATTAAGTCAGTCATTAATTCAGTCATAGATTGTATGCAAGTCTCCTTACAATTATCATAATGTTAACAACAAAACACCACAAATTACGGTTAAATCCTGTTCAGTGACTTACCGGCTGAAAGATCTTGATTTTCTTTTTGCCTGTGGGATTAGAAGCCTTCTCGATCCGCCCCTTGATTCCCAGGTCGTCAACGGCCTTCTCCTCAGCAGTAGAGGGTGTTGAGAGTGGAGTGGGTTGTGCGGGCTGACCAGTCTGATCAATGCGCTCAGGGTCCTTTGTAGGCTCAGGCCTTTCAGGAGATACGACAGGGGCAGGAGACGCAGTCTCAGCCTTTAGTTTGTCACTGCTTGTAGACAGGATAGATGTTGCTGGTCTCACAACTTGGTTTTTCTTGACAGTACAATTTGGGCAAATATAGTCCTCTCCATTTCTCTCCATCAGTCGCCCCCGGGCTTCAGTGATGCCAACACAATCACCGTGGAACCATTCTTCACATCGGTCGCAGCAGATCATAAACCTTGGGATCACATATAATGGCAGTTAATGGCAATTGTTTTTATACATTCAACTCTATGTCATTTCCTTGTTTAAAACATTGCTTATATTATAAATATTATGGTTATTGTCATTATATATATACATTTCTTATCTATGCTATATATAAATTGCGGTAATTACAAAAGTGATACAAAACGTGTTACAGAAAAGTTATTGTCACTCAGAACATTTAATTTAAATTCATTTTCTGGAAGCACATACCGTTTATTGTGTTTTTGCCGACAGATGCAGTAGAGCGCATTGGGGTCATAGCCTCCATCGTCCGACTCATCTGAAGAAGATGTGGTTGACGTAGAGGAGGTGTCTTCCAGGTCTTCTTTCTGGGGCTTGGCTGTGGTGGTGGCTCTTGTTTTGTTGTTGTCTTTTGTGGTGGCAGCTTTATTTACAGGGGTCGAGCTTTTAACAGGAGTAGTGTTCTTACTGGCTGCTCTCTTTTTATTGATATATGTTCGTATAGGTCCACGTTTTACCAACACTGCAGGCTTCTCAGGCTCTTCATCTTCAGTCTCTTCTGTTTCCATGTAATTTTTGTCTTCCTCCTTCTCACAGACTGCCTCAGCCTGTAGTTCTACAACATTAGTGTTATCAGGAATAGTTGGACCAACTTCTGGTGCTTCAAGTTTGTTCTCAACCTGGTTTTTCAAAGGCTCTTCTCCTTTGCTCTCCTCCTCATTCCCAGAGCTGGCCTCGTCTTTAGCCATGACTTCCCCTTTGCTCCTAGTCTGCCTTGCTCCTTGTGTTTTTCTCGTATACTGCTTCCTTGTTCCACTTCTTGTCCTCCGCTCTGGAGACTCTGCCTTTGCTTCAGTGCTTCCATCAAAGCTGGCCTCAGAGGCTGTCTCAGCATCAGTTGGAGTTTGAGAAGGAGGATCACCACCTTCAAGACTGGGAGGGGCACTCCTCCTTGCAGCTCTTTTGGCAGTGGAGAGGAATTCCTCAAGTTTGTCTGTGCGTTTTGCCTGTCTGCCGCTGCGCCGAACGGGACAGGGGACTTCTGGGCTGTCTGCTGCTGCTTCCACTGGCATCTCTCCTTCAGATATGGTAGCAAGACTGAACTCACAAATGTTTTAGTCCCCTCAGGATGATAGTTCATCAAGCTCTGGACAGAGGCATTAAGATTTATTTTTATTTTCATCACAGCATAATCATCATCAACAGTTCGAAAAAGCAAAACAAGATACACTGTGCTTGGGAATTAGGTTGCAAAATGAAGTTGGTGATCCCCTTTACATGTTCCCTACGTACACTAATCCCTGATATCACAATACTCCAGTATGTATTTACATTAATAACATCTTCTTAAATTCAAAATGAAGAAAAACAAGTAAAAACTAGAAAACTAAATACCACACCATATACATTCATTACTTACCAGTTGTTGTGATGGATCAAAATGGTGTGTCACTCAAAGAAGATTGTCTGTATCTGTATCTGGAAAAGGAAGAAAACTATCAGCATTCAATAGGGAAACAACTAAATTACAAGGATAAAAAAAACAACTAGAACTAGTAATTATTTTATTTGAGACAAAGATTAAATGTTTTCATATTAAAAGAAAGGATCTTCAATTCTTAGTCACATTCAGAGCAGGAGAACTGACAGAAAAGTGGTAGGCACCTATGGCCACTCAAACACCTGCCAAAAAAGTGGTTGTAAAAGAGCTTACCCTAGCCTATCAAGGATTTTGATGTGTGCAATAGCCATGTAAATAATAAATCCTCTTTTATTAGTGCCACAACACGCATAACCCACAGAAGACCTGCGAACACAGAATTATCCAATGGCAAGTCTGTGATCACGATTTAGTGCCACGTGATGGGGGACATTTTAGCATAGGAAGTGGGAGTGGTCCGACAAATAAAACAAATATACAACGAACAATTGAGGGCAATTTGCGAAAACTACTACACAACTGAAAGTATGTGATTGTCAGTAATCTACAAAGACTCGTGAGATGCACTTGCAGTGGCCGTTATCTATCAGTGCAACAGCAGCAATGCTAAAAGATGCAACGGTGTGTACCAGGCCGCGCTGCACGCTTATTTTCCACGTAAAGCAAGAGCTACAAAAACAGCGCACACAAATAGACATTTATTTTATGGATGCACCAAGCTGTGATAAAGTTGTGCCAATTGACGTTAAAACAAACTCAGATATCGCTAAGTAAACTTCAACACGCTACATATTGGACACTAGAGAGAGATAACATTGGCAGTATCCCAGGGCTGCTGTCGGACAAAATGCAGCATGAGTTTGGGAAATACGTTGTGTAGTGAGTAAAGACGAAAGAATCCTGTGATTTCAACTCTGATACCACGGACACAAAATACAAGACCACCAGAGCGTCTTGGCCCACGAATCGCAACCACAACTAGCAAGATGGGCTACCACCACGATGCAAGTTTAGCATGGATTTGACGTCGTTTGTTAAAACAGGATACAGTTAAGCTCAAAGACAACAACCAGGCTCCTAACATGACAAAATCCAGGTCTAGATTAATTCTAACAATGTAAATAGTCAAACCCTGGAGTAACATAAATCGCACAGTACGTAAGTCTGCTGGAGAATGCTTTAGCATTGCGGGTATCGGCCGAATGAACCTTTACCCTTGTCTGTGCAGAGCGGACAGACGATTATTCACCCACAAGTGATCAGCGACAACACAGATTTAAAATCGTCATCTGACTTTATTCAGACATTCTGCCGCACTTACCCAGATTTATTTTCGCTAAGATGTTTCATTTTTGACTTTTCGTTCTATCCACCATTTTCCACTCCCGCTATGGCGCTACTGGGGCGACGCGATGCGGCTGGACAACTGCGGCAGATGGCTGACGCTAACGTGTGCTCACAAACACTACAGCGCCACTCCAGGTTAGGGGTGGAAATATGACAGTGGCTAGTGTGGTGGGCTACGATCAAATGTACATTTTCAGGATTCCTGATTTATTGTCACAACGAAATTACACTTAGAGCATTAAACAGTAGCATGGCTAGTGCAAGACAATATAAGCGCACTACTGCTAGAATGACTTTACCATGGAGAATGAGTTCTGTTCTTACCCAATAATAAAAAAAATGACTGCATTAGACACTGCATATAAAAGAAAATACATGGGATTACACATTGTGCATGGGATTACATGGGATACATGGCATTACACATTGTGCATACCTCCATTTTTTTTTTTTTTTTTTTTTTAAAGTGTATACTATGACACTGTGATGAAAATGCTGCATTACTAGGGTGACCAGATTTTCAAAATAAGAAACTGGGAGATCCCTGGTTGGTAATAATAAAACTGTGAAACGAGTGCATAATTAAAATGTTCTGCACTCGGCACTAATGTGAGTCAGTATAGTCACATTTTCTTTGGTAATTTTTAATCTGTTTTTCTGTATTTTACCTAAGCAAATGACAATTTATTCCTCTCTTTACTGTTGGCAGGGATCAGATTGGTCAAAAATAGGGACACCTGGGACATTTCTTGCATAAAACTGGGACAAATCACTGGTTTTGGATAAATCTGCAGGGACAGGAGACAAAGGGCTCAAAACTGGGACTGTCCCAGGTAAATAAGGATGTCTGGTCACCCTGTGCATTACTTGTGTCTATTTCATAATTTTGCAAGTTGAGGCTGACTCTCTAAAAGAGTTAAGACCAGTGACTAAATCAATTAGCATTTTTCAGATTCAAATTGAAGATTCTGAACCAACTCACAATGTCTTTGACTTTTGAAACATGCCAATAAAAAGCTGCATCAACAAACAAATATGCTCTTTAGTCTATATTAAATTATTGCGTTAGCATGCATATTTTTTTTTAAAGTGTATTTTTACCACACTATCTTCTGTGGTGTACCCTACTTGGCAATGCAGCAGCATAACAGTGTGTATTTATACCTTACCGTAGTCTTTATTTAATCAGAGGAACCACTCAGTCCCCCCTGTTTCTTCACAGAGCAGCAATGGCTGAAAGTGGGTATAACTCACTTTAAAATTTGCATTGTGTTGTACATTTAAATGTTCCATTTTTCCTTCTGTGAATGTGCATCACATGGGAACTGGAAGCCTAAATAAAAAGTGAAAAAGGTTCATACAGTGCAAAAGCCCCCCACTGTGGCAGCAGAAACAGGACTAGTTCTGAGGAGTGTCTTTGTTGAATGTTTATTTACAAAATTCTTTATTACATCTTCATTACATCTTTATTACAAATTATCTTTATTACGCTATTTCAACCATTTAAAATAAAAAGCATAGGTTATCTTCCACTTTTGAAAAAATATCTGAAACTTCTCACCAGGCTGCATGCACCTGTTTCACAACAGCTCTCTCTGGGCAATAGAGGGCGCTGCTTCTTCAATCCTGGTGTGGTAGAAGTGGGTAACGTTTCTGGTTGCGCGATAGCGTTTTCATTTTTATTTTCTTAGGCAGAATATCTTTGGACTTGCAGGACATGATCCTTTTGAAAGTCCTTCTTATTTCCTGATTGGATTGGTCGGGGATTTCTCAGAATCCTCTGCCTTAATATGTTCCACACCTTTATTCGTAGATAAATATATATATATATATATATATATATATATATATATATATATATATATATATATATATATATATATATATATATATTTTTTTTTTTTTTTTTTTTTTAATTCAAATAGGCTAGTTCCACAGTTGTGTTGTATGTCTGTTGAACCAGTCCTTGGTTCTAGACTTATCTTATACTAGGATACATTTTGGACAACGAGGTGAAAGTGAAGTCATATTTTGTCACTTCCTACAACTGTTACTTTGATATTTGTGCTTGTCCCATCTCACACCACTGGCTTAAGGACAGTGGAGGCCAACTTTACATGTATTGTATCAAATGCACTTTTCTCACACAGAGATGAAACCCTCCATGAAGGATTGTGCAGAAGGATGTTGAAACAGACTATAGATCTCAGCTAGTTTACACAAATACTACAAAATTTAAGATTCACCTATAATGAGTGGAGTTGTGCTTTGTTTCATTCACACATTTAACACACAAAGTTCTTCTCTTAAGACAGAAAACAGCGTTCCACCTTGTGATGTCATGTGGTAATACCTGAAGTGCTCCGCTATGTTTTTAAACTGCATGTAGCTTAATCAGAATCTGATTTCAATGCTGGAACTGCCAATCTTTTCTGAACTAAAAGATAGTTCTTAACTTGAAAACAACCACATGACATTACAAAGAGCATGTTGAGCTTTGGAGATGTAGACAGGTTAATAATAAAAGGTTACTCAAACATGAGTGAATGAAACAAAACACAGCTCCAGGTATGCTTTTCATGAGGTAACAACGTTATAAAATGGCTTAAAGCTCAGTCAGTTTTGTATATAGCACCTTTAAGGTGAAGTTTCATCATTTAGGCTAATGTGATGTCACGTAGGCCTAATGACGAGTTACATGCCCCGGGCCATAGTTTGGACACCTCTACTCTATATCATTACTTTTGTAGATTTACTGTAAACGGGTCGGCTTCAGGTTGACATGTACTAAAAGCAGTCCAACTCTAGATGGCGACCTTCAAGTCCCTTAATCAGAAATAAGTTTATTGCCATTGTAGAGTGAACAAAATTGAACTATCAAACTAGGAATTTGCTTTGACAAGTTGGTGCAAAATAAAATATTGAATAAAAATAATTCATTGTAATTGGAATAAACATATGTATTATTAATATTAATATTAATATTAATAATAGGGAAAGCTGTGTTTAGGTAGACTAGATTGAATGTATTAGTGATCATGACTATCTTCTGTCTTTCAAACTGTTATCTCTTGTCTTTTAAAATAGAGTGACCGAAGGGAATGGGGGAAGTGGGAAGGGAGGGGGGGATGGTCACAGTCACTAGAGGGGGAGGTCAATTTTCCATGTTTAGTGGGGGAGGGGTTACAAACATTGAGCCACTGGGCTCTGTTTAGGTTTATATAGAATTGTAGAATTATGGAATGTGTTAGTAAAACTTACAGTCCAAACACAAATAGAAAATGTATTTTATTTGGGAGTTGTCTTCTTTTTTTTTTCATTGAGAGCCGCATGTAGAAACATTCATAGCAGAGGGTCACAGATTGGTGGTCAATACAGCAATGATTTCAGAGAGATGCATTTTACGTTACGAGTCACCACACCTTTAAAAAGTCTTGGAACACTAATTTTAGGTATTTATCACAATGCAATAAGGTGTTACAGAGGTTACAGTGATAGAAATATTTGAATTTGCAGTGAAACGTTTTGACTGATGATTTGGAGCAGAAGACCTGAGGACCAAAACAATGAATATGATATTTGTCAATACATGCTATACAGTAGCTATAGCTACTGTGCATTAAAGTGCATTAACATGCCCATATCTGCAACTTATTTTTACTATGATGACTGCTATAGATCTATAAGCACAACAACTTTAACTGTAAACTGAAACAATTTAAAAATATGTTTACTACACAACTGAGAAAAGGGTTTCTGCATATAGAGGACACATTAAAATGTTCTCATTTTCAGTAAATGGACAGGCCATGCCTCATGTGAAAGGTCAGAACTTCCAGAATAACTTTAAAATCTTGGATTGCAGCTATGCTGTCAAAATAAATTACTCTTGGGCATGAATAAACAAGGAGTCGGTTATATTGCACTTTACACTGGAGCCTGGAATTACAATACAATAAATGAATATTGCAAAAAGAGAGGGCATCAAAATCCCTCATCCTCATCTTCTCAAATGCACGTGATCATTAGGCCACTAAACTGTATGCTTAAGGAGGTTTAAATGGTAAATGGTAAATGGTAACTTTTCTGTTCGAGGGTTCGTCGCCTGTGTGTATCCATGGAGATGTTGTAGCCCTCTGCTTCCCTCTGATGTTGCAGCCCTTGTTGTGGATGAACAAAGTTTGGACTTTTCATGTGTGGTTTCGTTTCTTTAAGGCTAGACCTAGACCTAATGAAAATTTATATTATCGACAAGAATTTTACAAAATAAACCTGAAAATATCTCTCCAACTACTTTTTCCATCTCACATGACCTATAATTTATTTGCAAACCGGGTAGTTCTGTTTGTTGGTTGGTACTGCTAGCAAATGAAATGACTACATTACCCAGAAAGCCTTTCGTTTTTCTACAAGCTGGCTCCCTCTGCTCTGGGAGTGTTTCCCATTTAAACAAACACGGTCCAGCCGAAGATGGCGGAGAGTTTGTAGAGGCGTAAAGAAACTGCTCTACCTATGAAAGCGACAAAGCCGGTGAGTGGTTTGCACTTTGTGGATGATTTTTTTCAAGTTTGATGGACTTCTAGTTTTGCACATTTGATCTCGTGAATGTATCACCGAAACAACGTGGTGCTTCGTTTCCGAGCAGGCTGCTGTGGTCTGAAGCGACCGTCATACAGCGAGCCACCTTACCACCACTGTACTTGTTACGGAATGTTTGTTATGAACTTACGAGTATTATCATTTTAAAGCTGTTACGTACCACTTCACTATTTCCTCTGTTGTCCTCCTGTTATCATTTTATGTATGGCTGTTTATTCTACTCTACGTTCGTTGTAAAGTTTACGACATTCTGCCTTTGCTTGGTTGAATATCGAGGGATCGTTATGGGAAGAACTCGTGTGTGTACAAAGAAAAACTTTTCGGTGCCCCAAAGTATGTATTTGGTCCTTAACGCTGCAGGATGGCTTTGGACATTTATATGTCTGCTCAACTGCCCAGCAGACTTGTGATCTTTTCTGTCTACCTGAAGCTGCGTGAACTTACTGTGTGTTGGCTGCTGTCTGCGCAACGATACAGCTGTGATGCTAGTTCAGTTTTGTTTGAGGTGGACTGTCAATGTTGGGATGTATTTTGGTGATAAGTTTGTAGATTGGAAGGACCTTTGCTTGCCTTACTCCATTTCAAGCTTGCTATAAGGCTGTTCACACTTCTGTCCTACTGCCCAGTTTGCCCAAACTCCCTGCAAGTAAGATTTCCCTCTGTAGTATTTGTCACGTGTAGTTTCTTAAGATACAGTTTTAAATATATTGGTGTTGGATTTTTGATTTGAGTAAAAGTTTCATGAAATTACTTTCTTATGTTGTCAGAAAAGCTGTTAAATACAATTACTAACTTTAGTATTTCTAAGACATACAAATGTGCAATATAATGACTCAACATAGCAAGGTTACTCTACACACAAGCACAGGCATCTGTTATTCATTTGCACTGCTCTTATAAGATTGCATATTTACGATTGTAACGGTGGGTATTATAGACCATCCAGCTATGATTAATGTTGCTTTTTGCGGCTGATAAATCATACTTAGGTGCATGTGGGTGGCTGTGAGAGACGGACAAACTGGCAGTAAGAGATTGATGTGTTACAGTGCACAGGAAGATGAACAAGATCAAGGGTTCAGGGAGAGTTCGCTGTGCGAGAGAGAGGCTGTGTCGTTTTGAGGGGTGTGTGCTGAGCATCCAGTTTTCAAGTGCATTCTTGGAGAGCGAAATCATACGTAGTCAGACAATGCCAATGTAGGCTAGTCACTCAGTTGAAACTGCTTAGTCGTATGGTATGTCTACTCTAGTCTCTGTTGTATTTTCTAATTAAGTGTTGAACTCAACCAGTAGTTTAGTTCCATTGGCCTTGTTGTGGTTGTGTGAGCTTTTAATGATTATCTGAGAATTTTTATTATCCAAAAATAAATAATAAGCTAACTTATAATATGTTTTCAATTATTTCATTACATTTTTTTTTTTATTTGAAAATAATCTCAACATTGCGTTCAAATGAATGTGTCATTATTACAGTTTCTTTCTACTACTGGTTTAGTTAAAGGTGCACTGTGTAACTTTTCTTGTCTCAGTAGATATGCTATTGCTTCGCTTGGATAGCTCCACAGTATGGCATTAAAGTTATCCATCTTCCATTTATAAGATTGATGGTGTTTTTATTGCTCAAATTGCCTTGGAAAATCATGCATTATTATTGTGAGCAGGATCGCCTCTCTACAGATCTGACATGTAACTTGGCTTACTGGTATCACCTACTTGTCTTCACAGATACAGATATGTTTAATGCCATACAGTGTGACATTCCATGCAAAGCATTAACATTTCCATGGAAACACAATGGTTGCGCACACTCCAGAAAAGTTACACAGCACACCTTTTTAAAGCTGATAAAGCAAATCACATTTTATGCTGTTTTGGAAAGAGGTTGAATGCTGGTTTGATTTGATTTGATTTTCATGAAACTTTCTCATCTGTTGGTTCTGTAGCTTGTAGGTTAATGTTTGACAGGTCACCGTGCCTCAGTGCTGTGTAGTATGAGTTCAGGAGGTCCTGCTGACAGCCTTCATGAGCTCACTTGTCTTTATTTTGTCTGATGGAATGCCATTTTTCAAAACCCACATATGCTGCATTTTACAAGTGCAATGGGCACTGTGGGAACCTATCCAATGAAGTACTTGGGCTCATATTCCTGCTAAATGGAGCCCCTTGTCCCCCATTCTCTGTGCCTTTCTCTGCCACTTTCTTTCCCCCACACATAGGGTGTCAGGCTGCGTTAACAATGAATCAATCTTTTGGGGGATTCTTTGACTGCAGATGGGCTGAAGTGACTTGGATGCATGGCTTCTTCTCTTTGTCCACAAGCCCCTCTGCTCTAAATAATTAATTAACTTATCACTTTTTCTCATGGCCCCCAGGAACTTTTTTTGCTCATTTTAGAATGCAGAAATCACTTTGTATTAAAAGATCATTTCAGCCGATTCCACAAATGTCTTCTTTTCTCACTTAAATGTTGTCTTCTGTTTTTGAGTACCACTCTGTTGCATATCACTTTTCTTACTTTTGGGGAAACACAAGGGAAAATTTGACTCCCTTGTGTCTAAATACATCTGTTTCATTTGCACTTTTTGACATTTTTTTTTTCTCAATCATGTAAATAATTGCTATTTTCAGTAGCTGCGTGCTGCTTTAACGGAAGAGCAGCTCATGTTTCAGGTGTTATGTTATGAATTTGTTTGTATATTTCCAAGAACACTGCTGTTAAACCTGATTCATCTTTATTGACTCACTTCAGCATTTCCTGGTTCAACAGGTATAGTGTTTTCAGTCCGTACCAGTCTAAATTTAGTTGGTTCATACTCAACAAGACCGTCGTGTTTCTGCTGCTGAAATATTTACAGCGTCTTTGCCCGTACAAGTGAGAGTATGAGAAGCCAAGTCAAGCGGCACAAGTCTGCTGTCTGCCACTCATCTCAAGTCCTGTCTGCTTTGCTCTGAGTGAGACTGTCCCCTTTTCTTCAACTCAGAGACCATAAGTGTTAGACGGGCCATATGTGAGCAGCACACACTTCTCAACTCTACACAGGCAGCCTGAAGCAATCATTGCACCCAATTCAAGTTTATAACCAGCCAGGATTTGGAACAGTTGACTCTCTGTAGCCCTTCTTGATTGGACGAAGGCAAGTTTATTAGGAAAGGGGGGTTCCAAGAGCAGTGGCCCCCCCTTGCCCTCCCCTGTTGCCCTTCCTCTTTAACTTCAACTCCCCCTTTAACTTTCGCTCCCCCAGCTGAAGAATGCTCATAAAATGGTTTCACCTGAACAAGCCAGTGGGAGGGTAGCTGCTTGGCCCAGTTTTGTTACCATTGTAAAATGTTAGCAAGACCTTGTTTGTGTTTTGTTTAGGGCCTCCTTTATAAAAATGCTTTGGGGGTAGAGAGACGGCATAGCTGAAAAAAACTGGTTTGTAAAATAACTGCTACCAGATGCTTACTCGGTCTGTTAGACAGAAGGAAAACAAGACTGTCATTTTTCAACAGGTTTCTTTTTAAAGGATAGTTTTTCAATATATTATATTAACTAGTGTTTACAAACAATACACATTGTTCAAACAAGGTCTTTCTTGTATCTATTATCTATTAAGACTAACTGGCAAAGCTATAGTGTAGTTTACTACCAAAACAGGAACATTTGTCTCAGAGTGTTATAATGGTATATTGTGCATTTCAAAGTTGGCAGCAGGGTGTGGTTTGTAGTTCTGTTTAGACCTTCACCCCTCTGTGGTGCTTCAATACCAGTGTGCCAGCTCAGATAGTAACCCACTGACTGTTCCCTGCGCAGTCCTACATTTCACCTGTAATTTCAAAGCTCTTTCATTTAAACACATAAATACCAACGTGTCTACATTTGTGAGCCAGCCGACTTTCCACATGTACAAGTCTGTACTTTACTATGGCTTTCAGTTCAAAGAGAAGTCAAGCAAATGAATGACAAAGTTCCATGGCATCGTTAAAAACTGCACATTAAGTCCTACATGTAACCATTGGCAAAGCATGTGTCAAGTAATTTATTATAATTTTCATTGCACCAATACATTTTAATTTTGTTGAATCTTTTTTTTTCTGTCAATATGTGGAAAATATTTTTTGCCATTAGCACACACTGCTCTGATGTCACTGTTGTTTACTGGGCTTGTGATTTAAGCAGCACTACTCAAAAGGACTGCATTGGACTAATGTCCCCAGAAACATGATTTCATCATGAATAATATGATGATCAACACTAGGATGCACAATGCCGTCTAAAATTATTAACATTTACATACTAAAATCTGAACAACACTCCAAACATGCACCGTATTGGTGGAGTCGCACAGCAACTTTCTCCCCGTGTCTGGGTGGGTTTCCTCTGGGTGCTCTGGTTTCCCACGTACTAAGGTCAGTTAAATACAATCGATCAGTTAACCTGCCCAGGGACTACATTACTACTACTACTACAACCTGGTACGATGCATCTCTCCTGTTAAGGTTAATGTATATTGTGCATTGCCCCTGTCTCATTAAATAAATAAAGTAAAAGCATCTCTCAGGTCTGTACTTGAGGTCACATGATTTTTTCCCTGTCCGGGTGGGCATCACCAGTTTCCCTCCACAACTTGCACAGCAGGTCAAATCTTTTAGCTAAGGTAGTACTGACCATGACCAAGCCAAGCTCAAGATCTGGAGGTGCATCCCCAAACTTGATGGCTTACTGCTCCTGACAGGTTCCCCCACAGTCTTGAAGGATGGGTCAAATACAGAGACTTGGGCTGCATTCACCCGGGAACATATGGTAGATTACATTTGAACTAATTTCTAAATAACTCTTGAACTAATTCAGGACTACTGCAGGTCTAGAACAAGACCAAACCAGATAATAAAGTATACTTCAAACAGTGTTGGGAAGGTGACTTTTAAAATGTATTCCCCTACAGATTACA